GACTCCAACTCAAAAAAAAAAAAAAAAACTCTTCCCCAACCCCACCCCACCAGGACATCAGAGCTGCACATCTGCCTGGATCCTTAGATCCTCAGAGAGAACCACCTACTGAGCTGTCACACTAAAGTGTGAATAGTTAGCTTCCCCAGAGAGAGAGTCGGGGCTTCCCAGGCTTAGCTCAGAGAAATGCCCTTGTGATTAGTGGGCTGTTGTAAGGTTACAGAAGCAAAGGGAGGTATTTAGGGAGAAGGGAGGCACCGCCAGCACATGGGCACTCACACAGAGTCACGGCGTTGAGCATGCCTGTGTACGGGGTGGCACCCACAAACTGGTACAGGAGTCCCACGCGGTCCTGGATAGCACCCTTCAGCACGTCGTTCTGGACCCGCAGAATGAAAAAAATGAGGAACAGACCCATGACCAGATTTTGAACGAGACGCATGGTCACAGCCGGCTTATTTCTCAGTAAGTTTCTTGTCACTCTCCTGAAAACAAACAACCCTTTTTTAAAAAAATGATTGGCAGGCCGGGTGCCATGGCTCACACCTGTAATCCCAGCGCTTTGGGAGGCCAAGGTGAGAGGATTGCCTGAATCCAGGGGTTTGAGACCAGCCCGGGCAACTTGGTGAGACCTTGTCTCTACAATAAATCAAAAAATAAGCTGAGCATGGTGGTGCGTGCCTGTGGTTCCAGCTACTTGGAAGGCTGAGATGGAAGGATTGCCTGAGCCCAGCAGGTCGAGGCTGCAGTGGCCGTGAGTGTGCCACTGCACAGCAGCCTGAGCAACAGAGTGAGACTCCAACTCAAAAAAAAAAAAATGATTGGTAGATCTCTAAAGACCCCAAATGAACTTTGCTAACGCATTGTAAGGCTCTTACCTCAAGAGAATACCAAGTTTAGAGAAAACTCCAGGAGAATCTCTGGTTTTGAAAGGAACCTTTGGTAATGTTTTCAGGTGTTTTGTTCTTTCAATGCTCGCCAACGTTTTGTGATAAATTGCTGACTTTTTGTAAGCCGATTCAATCATCTGGACTCTCTTGTAGGTTTCCAGTTCCCGCTCCTTGCTTTGGGTATCCACTGATGTCAGGTCCACTAAAATTTTTACCCAAGAGAGACATCCATGTGTTTTTAAATGCACATGTATATGTCTATACAACAGTTAATAATATGTTTCATCACTGGTACAAGAGTCCTAGGCAGAATACCTTATTCCAGCAGAATAAAGCCTGTTGTGACTGTCTGCCTATAAAATCAGAATATTTTAAAGCCACGAAGAAAATTTGGAAGCTCAGTTCATTTTCTTTGACAAAGCAGGAGTGCACCAGTCTGTTTGAGACTCCCCCACCTCCTTCCAATAGGTTGTCTATGTTAAGTTAATTGACTAGCCCACTTTAATTTCTTGAAGAGCATAAAACATCACCACAAAAGCAAAAATAAAACCCTCTATGACTGGAATCTTCCAGGCAGAAATCTGAGATAAGAAAGTTTAAAAACCATTCAGGATGAGGAATGGGAAAGAAAAACTTACTATAGAAGTCAAAAGGGTTGGAATGCTCAGGACAAGGATAAGCACAGTCACTGAAGAAATCAAGCATTTCCGTGGGCGTGCCGCAGAAAACCAGCTCTCCGAAGCTCAGGATGGCAATTTTGTCAAAGAGCTGATGGGACAACAGGTGAAGTGAGTGTCCTTATGAGAAGTACATGCTGATCACCCCGGCCATGCATCACTATCGCTGGGGACACTCGAAGTGCATCCCCAGACTTGCCAGCTGGGACGTGCCCCCCCATGAGTCATGCTGCAGCCCTCCCTCCCCCCCCGGGCCCAGTGTCACATCCGGGGCAGACAGGACCTGCTGGTCTTGGCCTTAAGTCCCAGCCATGCCAAGAGAGTGATCCGGGGCAAGCTGGGGGTGTTTTTAGTTTGTTTGGTTCTTGCTTTTGTTTTAAATCTTAGATCCTCATCTATAAAAAGCAAATAACATGATCGGGCGCAGTGTTCAGCCTGTAATCCCAGCACTTTGGGAGGCCGAGGCTAGAGGATTGCCTGAACCTAGGGGTTCGAAACCAGCCTGGGCAACTTGGTGAGACCCTGTCTCTACAATAAATCACACAAAAAATTAGCCAGGCGTGGCGGCGTGCATTTGTAGTTCCAGCTACTTGGAAGGCCGAGGTGGAAGGATCGCCTAAGCCCAGTAGGTCGAGGCTGCGGTGTCCATGAGCGTGCCACTGCACTCCAGCCTGGGCGACAAGGGTGAGACTCCAACTCAAAAGAAAAAAAAAAAAAAGGAAATAACAGCTAACTAAACGAATACTGGGAAGAGAAAGTGAGATTTTTTTTCTTTGGAAGGAAATCTGTTTTAGTGGAAAAACACAGCTTTTAAAGCCAACTATGAGTGGCAATTCTACCTTTTCTAACTGTATGATCTTGGCTCGATTTTCTTTTTTTTTTTTTCTTTATGTTTATCTTAATTTTAGAATTGTGGGGTTCCTGTGAAGATTTGCTACATAAGTAATGGCGTGCAGGTGAAGTTTGGGCGTCTAGTGGTCCTCTCTCCCCCTGGTCGTGGACCTGGTTCCCAGTGTGTAGTTGTGTGCCCTTTATGTTCCCTTCCCCCTCCAGCATCTGTTATTCCCACCTTTGACCCAATGTTGAATCATTACTAAGTTTCACCCTTTTCCTCTGTAAAGTAGATATACGGATATACAGATATACAGACCAGGCAGGGGGCTGGCTACCCATAGGACTGTTGTACAGGTTAAATGAGCCGGAAAGTATCTGGAACATGGTAGGTGCTGAAAGAAGTGAGTTTCCACTCTTCGCCTTTGCCTCATCAGGGGCCATTGGTTCCAGTTGCTCTTGTACGAATCTTGACCCTGCCCTTGCGAGTCCCAGCTCAACACACCAGGTACCAGCCCTGACGAGCTGAGCCCTCACCTGAAAGAGCTCTGAGCGGGGCTGGTGGATGGTGAGGACCACAATGCGGTTCCTGCGCGCCAGCTCGGCCAGGAGGACCACGATCTGATTGGCGGTCATGCAGTCCAGGCCCGTGGTCGGCTCGTCAAACAGCATGACCTCTGCCAGCAAAGAAGGGCCAGACTTCTAAGCACGGGTTGTGGGCTTAAAACTCAGAATTCTGCACAGTTTCTTACTAAGGCAAGGTTCCCCATCCAGACAGTGCATGGGGAGAAGTGGTGACAAGTGAACTTTCAGCCTGAGCCCGGGAGAAAGCACCTGACCAGGGAGAGCCCCATTCCCAGCTCTGGAACACATTTGGGCCTTAACCCTTGAGGGGACAGGGGACAGGGGACAACCAGATCAAGCTTTTTACAGGATTCTGTGAACTGTTTGGGCTCTGTCTAGGAGACCCTGATAGGGAAAAAGGGCCGGCAGGTTGGCCTCAAATTGTTTTGAGAAGTCTGAGAGGAGGTTGGTTCAAAAGACATAAACACTTTTCACACCTTGGCACTTTCCAGCACTCACAGGGTCTCTGCACAAAAAAAAAAAAAAAAAAAACCCAACCCGGCAAGGCTCGATGGCTCAGCCTATAATACCAGCACTTTGCGAGGCTGAGGTGAGTGGATTGCCTGAGCCCGTGGGTTTGAGACCAGCCTGTGCAACTTGGCGAGACCTCGTCTCTACAATAAATTAAAAAATTAGCTGGGTGTGGTGGCTCATGCCTGTAGTTCCGGCTGCTTGGAAGACTGAGGCAGAAGTATCGCCAGCGCCCAGCAGGTCGACGCTGGGGTAGCCATGAGCATGCCACTGCGCTCCAGTCTGGGCGACCGAGAGAGACTTCAACTCAAAAAAAAGAAAGAAAAACTCCAACCTATGAAACAAGATCTTAGGTGTAGCAGGCATTTGAGTTCTTTAGAGGGTTTAAAGTAACTTATTTCTACCCAAATAGTGACAAGGGGTCTGAAAAGCATCTCTCCTTTGTCTTCTAGTGACCAAGCACCATCTGAAGAACAGGCAGTCTTGCTCTACTGCAGTGTGAATGCAGAATGTCTGCCGTCGGGTATGTATGAGTGGTAAGGTCTCCCCAAGTGATGGGGAAGATGCAGACCAGGCAGGGGGCCCCTCCCCCATGACATACACACTTTGAGTGGATCACTCAATTCCTACCTTCATTCCTTCCATTTCATGAAGACTTGTAGCCATACCAAAGCTCACTGGCTTTCCCCAGCAAACAAATGGCACTGCTCTGGTGAGAAGTCAGAATGGGCAAGGCAGGACCCCATACTCAAGGAAGACCCTAGTGGAACCCTATGGCACAAATGCAATGCTTCCAAGTCCAAGAAATGTTCGGTGGGAGGAACTATTATCAGGAAATGAACTATAGAGCATTTCCAAAAATCTGGGTCCCTATGTTGGGAAATCTCAGTGATTTCAGTGGCACGCAAATCCCTTTTCAAATGGACACTGGGGAGAACGGGCCTAAAGTATCTGCAGACACACTGGAGGTGTCAGGGGCAGCTCGCACAGCCCTGGGGTCGCACTTACTGGGGTCCTGGAGCAGCTGGGCGGCGATGGAGACCCGGCGCCGCTCGCCACTGGAAACTCCCCCCAGATTGTAGTTGCCAATCAGTCGGTCAGCCACATGGCTCAGACTCAGCTCGGCCATGACCGCCTCCACCTGCAGGAGACACAAATTCTGGGAAGGTTGGGCATTGCTGGAGCTGCTATTCCGATTTGTCGGGTGGGGATGGGACAGAACACACCTCTCAAGAACGCAAGGGCCACCTCTGACCTTACCACACCCTGGGGAAAGCAAGCCTCTTAAAAAAGTATAATCCAGTATGGTTTAGATCATAATATAATACAAGTGTTTGGTTTAAATAAACAATATGGATTTTTTTTAAACTCCCCGGAGCAGCAAGAACTGCTTCTACTTGCAGGGAAATTCACCAGTAAGCAACGGATATTCATTTAACTCCTCTTTTCAGATGCCACAATTAACCCAACCCATACAGAAAAATCCCTTTGGGATTTTATCCCCAAAGGGATAGTTACAATGCAGTCTATTTTTGTAAGTGTTTAGGCTTTGAAACTTTATTATAATAAATGTTTAAAAAATTTTTTTTTCAGCCTGAGTCTCACTCTGTTGCCCAGGTTAGAGTGCAGTGGCACGCTCACGACCACCACAGACTTGACCTGCTGGGCTCAGGCGATCCTTCTGCAAGGAGCTGAAATTACAGGTGTGAGCCACCACACTCAGCTAATTTTTAGATTTATTGTAGAAACAAAGTCTTGCCAAGTTGCCCTCCTGGGCTCAGGCAGTCCTCTTGCCTCTGCCTCCCAAAGTTCTGGGATTACAGACGTGAGCCACTGCACCCAGTTTTTATTATAATACATGTTTTATATGTTTAAAACATCTCATTTGATTTGAATGAAACCTGTTTTCCCTGTGTAACCCAAATAAATCCTGGATCTCATGTGGCCCAATCTCGTGTGGTGCTACATCAAAGAAATGTAATCCAGCTATTAATTGTAATTAAAAATAATTCCAATCTTTACTTGAATTTTCTTAAGGGCTTTAAAGGAGACCTATTATAACTCACGGCCACACTTTGAATTTCCTCTCTTTCAATTCTCAGTCTACTTAAACCATGCAGCTCCCAGGAATCCCTCTGCTGTCTCCTCATTCTCAACTCCCCCACGACAATAACAATTTAAAAAATTATTTATGGACTTTCTAACCAAAAAATTTGGCCTTTTTCTTCTCTGTCTGTCTTTCCCTCCTCAGTCTGTCTTCTCTCCAGAAACCCTTTTAAAAATCCCTATTGCGACTGGGCGTGGTGGCTCAAGCCTATAATCCCAGCACTTTGGAAGGCCAAGGTGAGGGGATTACCTGAGCCCACAGGTTCAAAAACAGCCTGGGCAACTTGGTGAGACCTCATCTCTACAATAGATAAAATTAGCTGGGTGTGGTAGCATGTGCCTATAGTTACAGCTACTTGGAAGGTTGAGGTGGAAGGATCGCTGGAGCCCAGCAGGAAGATGCTGGAGTGGCCGTGAGCATGCCACTGCGCTCCAGCCTGGGCGAAGGAGTGAGACTCTAACTCAAAAAAAAAATTCCATATTTTTAGTTCTCTCTCACTGATTACTCCCCATCTGCATAAAGCCCTGGGGAAAAGCAGATAGAAAGAGACTGAGAACACATATGTGGTAATAAGTTTTGTTCCATACATCCCTAATAAGATTGTTTTACTCTTATAATAAAAATGGAAACAAAGCCTTTGCATTTTAAAAAAAAAAGCCTACCATCAACAACAAACAAGAGTGGAGAAGAAGAGGGAATGATTTATGGAACAAATTCCAGAGGAGACTGGGGTGGGATCAACATGAATCTTTGACCAAAAGAAGGAACATATCTGAAATTGATACAAAGGAATAATGAGAAGGTAAAAATGCATAACTAAACTAACATGATATGTTCTGGAAAAAAGAAGTGTCTCCTCTTGCCATCAGAGTAGAAAGATCCTGGAATTGAGCTCTGCAGGACATGGTCAGATTTACATGCTCGTTGACTAGGGTAGATTTCTGAGCCTCTTTTTCTGTCTCTACATCAAGAAAGGAGTACGCTAGGCCCTCCTGACTCAGAAGGGATGAACAGGGAAGACATTTACCTAATGTGTCTTAGACGGTCCATGCCCTCGCAGAAAGCCTCTCCCATATTTTACAAACACTGTTGGCAATGGAATTCACAGAGTCTTTGAAGGGATCATTGGGGTCATCGGTTCCACCCTTTATGCTCTGTGCTTTCACGTAATGTGATGTATTCTTCACATCAATCCCACGAAAGATGTGCTATTACTGTATTTATTACAGAGGAGGAAACAGATTCTCAGAGAGGTCCAGAACTTACCCAAGTCCTGCCATATGCAAATGGCAGAGCCGGGATTGGGAGTGGGACTGCCTGGGCCCTCTCAGGTGTCCACAAAGCCAAGACTTAGCCAACAGTCTGCAGACACAGCCTGCTCACCTGGACTGTGCTTAATGTCCAGGTTCCTCCAAGGACAGAAGCAAATCACCCTGCTGTCTCCTCTGTTATTACTGGCACTTCCTTCTCACTCAATTACCTCGTTGGAATATAGGTGACTCTTCCTAGAGCCTTACTAACAAAGTGTGATCTGACAACTAGCAACATCAGTGCCCCCTGGGAGTTGGTTAGAAGTGCAGAGCTCCAACCCCGCGGTAGCTCACACACTTTGGGAGGCAGAGGCGAGAGGATAGCCTCTGCCCATGGGTACTTGCCACGGGCAACTTGGCAAGATTTTACACCCCGTGGACTGGATTTGTTCAGAAAGGACTCTCAGGCAGGGAGAAGTCTGCTATCTATCTCTGCAGGACACTTAGGGACTACCTGTGCCAGGGAGAGGAACCATTCATTTGTCATCAATCGATTTCAAGGTACCCATGAATTTTCTGGGTATTTATGCAAATATGAGCATAAATGCTCAGACACGTATTTGCATATGTGGAACCTGGGGAAAGGACCCAGGGGCTTTCTCAGATTCTCTCCATGAGGTGTCTGATTTGAAGGGCTCATTAATTCAGAAGAGACTATTCATGACTTCATATCTCCCACCCAAATGCCAGTGGGGTTTTCTCCTACCCGACTGAGAGTCAGAACTACTGAAGCAAACAGAAAGCCTGCATGGGGGCTGGGTGACCTGGCTGCTCATCTGCTACTCACTGTTCTGTCCATCAAACCCTGTGAACATTCCTTTGCACACTAAGCCTTTCCGTGGGCTGAGCTCTGGCCTCCATCTTCTCAGACCAACAGGGGTCTCCAGGAGACATGATGGAACCGGAGGACCTGGGCTCCCATCCCAGCTCTGCCATTCCCAGATGTCTGATCATAATCACCTTGGATGGCAGTTTGCTGTTCTACAAGATGGAGACGACGCCTCCCTCCCAGGGTTGATGTCAGAATGAACTGGGTTACCATGTGTGAGCAAGTTCTGCCCAATGTCAGCCAGATATGAGCACCCAGGGTACAATATGATGAAATAGCAAGAAACTTGCAATACCTTCTAGGCACTCTAAGGTAACCTTCGGGGAGGAAACAGTCACGTCCTACTCTGTGAGGCTGCTGGTTTTTCATGAGGGCCAGGTTCCTTGCTAAGACTCCTCTAGAGTGTAAGCTATACCCCCAAATTGTCTGGGAGTCTCAAACAGAAGAATGTCATTTACTCCCTGCTAAGTTCAGGTGTTTGTCCTCTTCAAATCTCATGTTGAAATTTCATCCCTGATATTGGAGGTGGGGCTTAATGGGAGATGTTTGAGTCATGGAGCTGGATCTCTCATGGTGGTGGTGGTGAGAGACTTCTCACTCTATTAGTTCCTGCAAGAGCTGATTGTTAAAAAGAGTCACACTTCTCCCTTCTCACTCTACCTTGCTTCCTCTCTTGCCATGAGATCTCTTTCACCTTCTGCCATGAGTAAAAGTTTCCTAAGGCCCTCACCAGAAGCAGATGCCAGCACGATGTTTTTTGCATAGCCTGCAGAACTGGAAGCTAGTAAATCTCATTCCTTTATAAATACCCAACTCTGGGCATTTCTTTAAAGCAATGCAAAATGGATGGAGACACCCATCTAGGGCATCTCAAGAAACAAGCCTGCTTCCAGGGAACTGTGTCCCTCTAAAGGTGGCACATCTATGTGTCAGTGGTTCCCTGGGTGTTCCCAGGCCTGCCCAGTCCAGTCAGAAATAAGATAAGGTTTCCAGGTAAGGTTGCAGTGGGTTTACCTGCAGCTACTTCCAAATTGGGTACATTTGAGAAACAGACTGGAATCTAGCAGGAGTTGACAATTCAACTGTTTCTTCCTTCACTACCTTAATCCAGTTAGGATGGGGCACATTCAAGATGCTTCAATGCAAGTGGAGAAAACTCAGTGGGGAAAATAATCATACCTGTTCAAACACAGAGCTTGTACAACAGCACAATCAGCAGGATCAATGCAGATCACATATAGAATTGACATATTTTGTAGTCATATTTTTAAAAGTTAAAAAAAGTGAAATTAATTTTAATATATAATATTATCTACAACCAAAACCTTATCTTTTCAATATTTTAAGAAATTCTTAATGAGTTATAGCACATTCTGGTTTTTCAGACTTGTTGTCTGAAATCTGGGGTGTATTTTGCACTCAGAGCTCATCTCTATCTGGACTAGTCACATTTCAAGTGCTCAAAATGCACAAGTGAACAGTAGGGTGTCCTCTCGGACAGCACAGGGTGCGGGACTCAGGGTGATCTCTAGTGTTGGGGAGGGATGTGCAAGCAGAGGCCAAGAGGGGGTGCAAAGCCACCCTGGGGATGTCCGCTACATGGTCACACCCACCTTCTTTTGGAAGAAGCCTGGGGAGCCACAGCGGATGGCCAGCAGTGCTGTGTAGCGCAATGTCTCTCGAACCGTAAGGCTGCTCAGCAGGGTGTCACTCTGCGGGAGAGGGGGCATCAGGGTCTCTCCAGCCCTGGGCAGGTGCAGGGCAGGGCGGGAATGCACACCTGCAGCACGTAGGAGAAGCAGTCCTGGAACTGCTCCCGGCGCAGCGCCTGGCCGTTGACACACACCTCCCCAAGAAACGTCCCCGTGCGCCGCAGCCTCCCAGACATGGCGTCCAGCAGTGTGGTTTTCCCCGAGCCTGTGGTCAACAAGAGGAGGCCCTGGAGAAACATCCCAGGACCCCCTGTGCTGGTGGAACCCCGCAGCCTGACTCTGACTTGTTTTCTCTTTGGACTCATGGGTCAAATCCTCATGACCCAAAGGAGTCTCTGGCGTGTCCTCTGAGTGAGAGGGGACAAACCAGTTCTCCCACACTGGTCAAGACTGAAGGTGCTTTATCTGTTTGTTTATTTGCTTTTAAAACTGTCTGGGGTTGGAAAACAAAATACATGTAGGATCGGAGTAAAAGAAAAGCCAGGGCTCTTGGAAACATCTGGATTCTAGGACATCTGAATTTCTTTTGTGGCTCCCTGGGTTTGTCTGGATATATCAGGATATAGGTGACTCTTCCTAGAACCTTGCTAACAAAGTGTGATCTGACAACCAGTAATATCAGTGCCTCCTCCTGAGAGCTGGTTAGATGTGCAGAATCCCACCCCCGTGGTGGTTCACACCTGTAATCCCAGTACTTTGTGAGGCAGAGACGAGAGGATTGCCTGAGTCTACAGGTACAAGACCAAGCTACACAACTTGGAAAAACCTCATCACTACAATAAATGAAGACATTAGCCAGGTGTGGTGACACATACCTGTGGTTTCAGCTACTTGGAAGGCTGAGGGGGTAAGATCACCTGATACCAGCAGGTCGAGGCTGCAGTGGCCATGAGTATGCCACTGCACCCCAATCTGGGCAACAGGGTAAGACTCCAACTAAAACAACAACAACAACAACCAAAAAAAAAAAAAAACATGTGCAGAACCCCAGGCCCCACACCAGAACTGCTGAGTCAGAGTCTGTTTAGTAGAACCTGGTCAAACCAAGTTGACCACATCCTGCACTAAGAGCCATGGGCAAAGCCCTGCTGGGTGTCTCTAAGAACATCCTCACAGAGGAGCTGTGGTGAACTAACTGTGGGGCCCATGAGATGACGGGAGGATGATTTTCCCCAGTTTGCTTTTTTCTAGGGTTAGAGGTTAGGTGCCTCTAAGATAACAAGTCTGCTAGCCCCCCAGCCATACTGGACACAAGCTTAACGTGAATTCACAGGAACAGAACAGGCTTCCCCAGGCCTTTCCTAGCCAAGGCTGCTAAGAAGTTATATGAGGTCTGACAATTAAGTTCACAAACCATCCTAGAAAAAGTGCTACATATCTCATTGCTGAATATCACTAGGGTCACCTTCGAAGTACTACCCTTAGGAAGCTACGCACCGATGCCAGCACCTAGTACACCTGTCAAAGCAATTTTGGGACTCTTCTTTTGGATGTCCTTCAGAGCTGTTGTCGTTATTTGTTGAGGTCTGACAATTTCATGAACTTACCTCTGAGCACTTATTTGGCTGCACTGTACAAATAATGTATTGGACACCCTCCTTGTTCACCTGATGCTGGCTCCCAATTCCTTTCTTCTTTACCCAAAGATAAAGGAAATAGCAAAAGGAAGACATTTGATGACATTCGGGACATCAAGGGTAATAGGATAACAGCTCTGATGGCCATTCCGGAAAAAGAGTTCCAAAATTGCTTGATGGGTCGTCTAGGTGCTGGTGTCAAGGGGGGTACTTTGAAGGTGACATTCAACAATGAGGTATGGAGCACTTTTTTCTAGGATGAGTTCACGAACTTAATTTTCAGATCTTGTATAACAGGAAATAGGCCTGAGGTTCTGAACTGTCTAAGGAGACACCGAGAGCATTATACTGAGGGTGTGATGACCAGTGCACAGCCAAAGAGAAGATCTTTGGTTCAAAAACAAAATTTTTTTTCATCGGAATCTCACTGTTACCCAGACTGGAGTGCAGTGGCACTCATGTCCACTGCTGCCTTGACCTGCTGGGTTCAGGTGATCCTTCCACTTCAGCCTTCCAAGTAGCTACCCTTGGTGCACACCACCACGCCTGGCTAATTTTTTGATTTCTTGTAGAGATGAGGTCTCGTCATGTCGCCTAGGCTGGTCTGAAACTCCCGAGTTCAGTCAATCCTCTCGTCCTCGCCTCCCAAAGTGCTGGGATTACAAATGTGAGCCACCGTGCCCGGCCTGGTTCAAATATTTTTAAAAGACTGCTTGTTGCTTCAAGAGGAGCAAAGATGAATACACAGTTGTCTTTTTTTCTAACTCATGACTGATAAAATTCAGAATCGACCCCAGCGTATTCAGGCACAGGTCAGGGTGGGGAAGAGAGGGACAGTGATTACAAAGAAATGAAATGTGATGTCGCTGAGGCTGTCTTTCCAATGTGTCCTGTAATTTCCCAGTCATGATGCTTGGCCTCATGTGTGACTGTCCTAACCAGGGCCTCCTTGGTCTTATATTTCCAAGACCCAATCTCAACTCTGGCAAGAACTCCGAATACCCTGCAGCCTGGATTCCAGCCCCACCACTACCATCAGAACTGGCCTCCCCGGGGATGTCAAGGCCACTTTATCGTTGCCAAATCCAATGGATACTTCTCTGTGAGAGACTCTGGGATGGAATTACCCAACCAAGTCACTTCCAAATTTCTGACCCAGTGAAACTCAGAGATACTACATGGTGTTTTTGTTGTTTTTAGCCATTAAGGTTTGAGATACTTTATCTAAAGAACAAATTCAGTTTTTAAAGCATGTGTCAAGTATTTATTAATTCATTAATGAGGGAACCAGCAAGATGACAAACCTTATTTAAAAGAGGATATGGCCGTCGCAGTGGCTCAAGCCTCTAATCCCAGCACTTTGGAAGGCAGAGGCAAGAGGATTGCCTGAGCCCAGGGTTCGAGACTAGCCTGGGCAACTTGGCAAGACCTCATCTCTATAATAAATCAAAAAATTAACTGAGCATGATAGTGCATGCCTGTAGTTCCAGCTACTTGGAAGACTGAGGTAGAAGGAATGCATAATTCCAGCAGGTCAAGGCTGCGGTGGCTATGAGTGTGCCAGTGCAGAGTGAGACTTGAACTCAAAAAAAAAAAAAAAAAAAAAAAAGGAAGTGAGACATACTTCTAAGAAAGGTGCTGCATGCCACCTTGTTGAATTCTACATAAGGAATACAACAAGTAACAAATGGTTATATGAATAACACAGCTCTTTTTTAAAAAAGGAGTGTATTATATTTACCAAGAGGAAAATTAGAATGACCCTGGATGTTATGATACATGTGTAGTTAGAAATTGTTTTTAAAATTTGAAATGAGAACTGATAGGAGGTTGGACATGGTGGCTTCATGCCTGTAATCCCAGCACTTTGGAGGCCTGAGGTAGGAGGATTGCCTGAGCCCAGTTCATGACCAGCCTGGACAACACAGCGAGACCTCATCTCTACAGAAAAAATTTTAAAAATCAACTGGGTATGGTGGTGTGCACCTGCAGTTCCAGCTACTCAGGAGGCTGAGACAGAAGGATCACCTGAGTTTAGGAGGTCGAGGCTGCAGTGAGCCCTGATCCGACCACTGTTCCCCAGCCTGGGTGACAGAATGAGACTCTGACTTAAAAAAAAAAAAGAAGAAGCTGGGTGTGGTGACTTACGCCTGTAATTTCAGCACTTTGGGAGGCAGAGGCGAGAGGATTGCCTGAGCTCAAGTGTTGGAGACCAGCCTGGGAAACTTGACAAGACCTTCTCTCTACAATAAATCCAAAAAATGAAATTAACTAGGCATGGTGGTACATGCCTGTAGCTCCAGTTACTTGGAAGTCTGAGGTGGAAGGATTGCCTGAGTTTAGCAGGTCGAGGCTGCAGTGGCCAGCCAGACTAGACAACAGAGAGAGACTCCAACTCAAAAAAAAAAAGAAAAAAGAAACTGCCAGGAAATCTCAGAAAAGTGTAACAGCTTTAGTCAATGCTATGGTCTGAATGTTTATGTTTTCACAAAATTCACATTTTGAAATCCTCATACCCAAGGTGATGGTGTTGGAAGGTAGAGCATTTCAGAAAGTTATATTGGAAGGTGCAGGTTCTGGGGTGTCCTCAAGATTGGGATTAGTGCCCTTATAAAAGAGGCTTGAGAGAGATTCATCCCCACGTCTGCCAAGCAAGGTTAGGTGAGAAAATGGCTGCCTGGAAGGAAGCCACCCTCACCAGACGCTGAATCTGCTGGCTGCTTAATCTTGGACTTCCCAGCTTCTAGAACTGTGAGGAATACATTTCTGTTGCTTACAAGCCACCCTGTCTATGGTATTTTGTTTTAACAGCCCGAATGGACTAAGACAGTCAGGGAATGCCTTTCCATTTGATCGATCTTAACAACACTACCATTCCCCTCCAGTTGCTCACCTGCGATAGCCGGGTGAATAGCCACAGATTTACCTCCTTGGGTCTAAAGAGGGTGACCACACCGACATTCTATCATAAACATTTCCTATCTCTGTTAAAAAGACTGATACAAGCAGAGAGTGGCAGTGAGTGCCAACAATCTGCAAGTAATAATCGAGAGGCTCCTATGAAGCCAACTTGTCAGAATCTTTCAACCTTAAAATGCTCAGGATAACCCAGTGTAGTGGACACTGTAGTGTGCCACCCAGACCCCCTCTTCAGGGCCAGCGCACCATCCTCCAGCTGCTGGGACTGTCGACTGCTCAGGACTCATAGCTGTGACCCTCCCAGGGAATTGCCTCACCAAAGGCTGTACCCTCCCAGGGCAATGACCTGCTGATGCAGGACACAAATACAGACAGAGTTCAGGCTCAAGTGTAATTCTCTTGGGGAAGAGAAGGAGAAGGATGATGTGCAGAGTGGATACATGGGGGTTTCAGTGCAGTTGGTCATGTTTAATTCCTTAGAAAAGAAAAAGGAGCCAGGCGCCGTGGCTCATGCCTGTAATCCCAGCACTTTGGGAGGCCGAGGTGAGAGAATTTCTTGAGCCTGGGAGTTCGAGACCAGTCTGGGCAACATGATGAGACCTTGTCTCTACAAAAAATTTAAAAAATTATCTAGGTGTGCTGGCATGTGCCTATAGTCCCAGCTAATTGGGAGGTGGAGACGGAAGGATTGCCTGAGCCCAGCAGGTTGAGACTGCGGTAACTATGATCATGTCACTACACTCCAGCCTGGGGGAGACTCTGACCCTCCCCCCAAAAAAAAGAAAGGAAAGAAAAATAAGATTTGATGAGGCCTGATGTCAGTACATGAACACCTCCTATATTAATCTCTATTCCTGACTCTATATCTGGAATATATCCTCATTTAAAAGGACCAGTGGAATCAAATGGGGGGGGGGGCTTCATTGGCATTTTGTGCTGACTTAATTTCTTTTCCTGTCTCTAGGCAGGGGGCAGCGAGGGGAGATTGCATTTGCAGAGCACCCTGATATGCCAGGCCCTGGGCTAGGGGTTTCCCACACTTTGAAATATGGATTTGCTCGCATGGTAGGCAGAATTTGGCACTCTTTCGGGGATCTTTCTAAAGATTTCACGTTAGTGGCAGGTTCCATCCACAGTCAGACACGTCATTCCATTTCATTCTCATATCAAACCCGTGGCCTTCTCGCCACAACCTATGCCCATATCTTCAATGTGGTGCTTGACTCAAGCCAAGGCCTCTGCTAGTCCTCCTTCCCCAGCTTACCTGAGCTTCCCAGGATGCACATGATTTGCCCGCTCTCCACGTACAGGGACACGTCTTTGAGGATCTGCCTGGTCCACTTTCGCCGGCAAGCTGTCATGTCCCACCAGGGCCCGATGTGGTTGCTTGAAAGGAAACCCGGAAAGGTAATGGCAGCGTGGGGTCCTGGAAGAGGCCAGAACCCAGTCCCCCAGCGCTGATCCCAGCTCCGCCCCACCCCCGATGTCTCGAGACAGGCTCCTAACATTTCAGTCCCAGTATCCTCCATTGTAGAGCCTGGTGGGGAGTGGCTGAGGTTGTCAGTGGCCTGCGGAGAGATCCTGCCCTGCAGCTGTGCTGAGTGTCCCCTCTGGCTGGCTGGGAGGTGATCGGCCCTGCATTCCTTCACCAGGCTTCATTACACCTGGTATTCCCGGTACCCCCATTCCCCGAGCCCTCCCATCCACAGAAGGTAGGCCACAGACACGGGGGAGTGTAAACACAGGAAGGGGCAAGAGACAGGGGCGGGTGGCAGGGTGCTGCTGCCACGTTGTGCCCAGGCCCTGCCCTGGGCAGGAGGAGGGGTTGGCTGTTCACATTCGCTCCTCACTTCCCAGCGGCAATCCTTCCCCCCCTCTTCTCTCCAACCAATCCATCAAAGCCCCAGGCATGCCCCCCGTGAGTAAGAAAAGGCAGCAGAGGGGTGAGAGCCCCCAGCAGGGAGAGGAGAAGCAGCAGGGAGAGGAGAAGCAGCAGGGAGAGGAGAAGCAGCAGGGAGAGGAGAAGCAGCTGGGGTCTACCTTACCTGACGCTGTAGGAGGCATGGAGGATGCCCAGGCTGTGCTGCGGCTCCGACACAGCCATGGAAACCTCCTCTGGGGAGTTCTGGGAGCCTCTGTTTTCTTGGACTCCCAAGGACCCCCCGGGGATCAAAGATGGAAGTTCACTCATGGCCAGCAGGTGAATTTTCTGGTGGCTTCAGCAGAGGAGCCAGTGGCAGACTGCCCCACCTGCTCCTTGCCTGGGCCTGGAGTCCCCTGGCAGGCCCTCCCGGTGGTGGGACTGGGACTTGGCCTCCGATGCCATTATCTGATGTACCTTTAGCCAGAAAGTCCTTATCTTGACAGTGGGCAGAATCCACCCTGGGTGGAGCGGGCTTACCAGAGAGGAATGCTGGGAGTGAGACTGACAGTTGGGAGGGCTGAAACGTCCCTGCTCTAGGGCACACAGAGCAAAGACACTGGCACTGACAGACAGAAGCCAGGTCTCAAGAAGCAGCAGCAAAGGGGCACAGACCACTGGGACCCATGGCTGGGAGGGCCACGGAAGAGAGAGGACTGCAGAAGGGGGCCACTTCCCTGGACGCCTCGGTGAGTGATGGGAACCTCCAGCCCTGGTCGGCAGGAGAAATTGGACCTTTCCTTCTTGCCTCATGACCTTTCTGTCTTAACTCACCACCCAGACAGCAAGCAGAGGGGATCACGGCAGCAGGACTCCATTTGCCAGCACCATGGGGGTGTGGGGAACAGATTTGGGGGCCGAGGGGCCGTCAGGTCACTTCCTGCCCCCAGGCTCGCTCCTCCAGGAGATGACGTCCTTGTGTGTGACTTGGGCTGTGACTTGGGCTGAGTTAGCTTTTTCCAAATGAGGCTTCAAAGAAACGTGCTCACACATGCCAGGGACCCTACTGGTGTCTCCTCCGCCCATGTGGCCGTGGGGTTAAGAGTCTCAGTAGTAAAGTGATGAATGAAGCAGGGTGACAGACGACTTTCATGGGAATGTCAGCATTTATGCTCAAAGCGTGGCTCTAGCTGGCAATCATCGGATCTGGGAGGGGCCTGACAGGAACAGAGGCAGTCAGGTGCCCAAGAGACGGAGGAACAAGGTGTCCTCTCATTTTACCTGTGAAGTGTTTACTGGAGAAACAGCCTTTGACTGAAATCGGGGTCTGGTGGGATTTGAAACAGGAGGCCACAGTGGAAGCAGATCCCCCGCCCACCCCCCATCACCCTCCCCAAGAAGGAGAGAAAGACAAGAAGAACTGAGGACTCCACACACGACAGGGAAGGCCACCAGCCACCTGAACAGGCCTTGAATTGCCAGGGCTTCACTCAGCCGCAGTCATTTCTGCAACTGCCATGAAAGACCGGCTCTGCTCTCTGAGGGCCCCCCTGGGGCCAGCCCTCCTGGGAAATGCTTATAGCCTCAATAGGGTACAAAGTCAATGGGGGCTTTGGGAGCACAGTCTGCCCGGAAGGGCTAAGAGTTCAGCCACCACAGCTTAAGAGGCAAAAAACTGCAGGAATCTTGTGTCCAGAAATGCGTGCAGGCCCTGCAGTTTCTGATTTCCTTCTCTCCAACCTTGTCACTCCAGGTGCCCGGCAGCGTTTTGCCCCCAACACTCAGGGGGCTAGGAACAAGAGGGTGAAGGGTACATGCCTTATTCTAGGTATTTAAACGTTAGCAATCAATAACATTTTTTTTTTTTGAGTTGGAGTCACTCCCTTGCCCAGGCTGGAGTGCAGTGACATGCTCACAGTCACCGCAGCCTCGACCTGCTGGGTTCAGGCGATCCTTCCACTTCAGCCTTCCAAGCAGCCGGAGCTACAGGCGTGTGTTACCACTCCCAGCTAATTTTTTAATTTATCTTAGAGACGCGGTCTCACCAAGCTGCCCAGGCTGGTCTTGAACCCCTGAACTCAGGCAATCCTCTCACCTCGACCTCCCAAAGTGCTGGGATTACAGGCTTGAGACACCGCACTCAGCAAGCCAAGAACGATTATTCTCTCTTCTCTTACCTTGACACAGCTTCCTCACAACCCGGAAGGCCAAGTGTAACTTTAGAAATTCCAGGACTTCTTAGAGCGGCAGCTAGAATATTCTGGTATGGGGAAGCCACTTTCATCCCAAGACGCAGCCTGTCTCCTTCTCTTCCCGTCCCCAGTTCCGTCCCACTCCACAGGGCCCTCATGCACCCCTGGGTGGTCATCGCCTTGCCTATCAGTATTCCATCTCTGCCCTGCACAGACAAATACTCCCCTGACCTGGGGTGCTCAGGAGGACGGGCCTGGAAGGAAGTGGTTAGGCCCTGGGGTTGGATTTGGGGCCATTGGCACAGGAAATCCTGGCATCTTGGGAGCCTGGCATGGCAAGTGTTCTTGGCCCCTAAGCTCCTTTTTATGTGGGCAATAGCAGGGCTGAGCTGCATAAGATCTCATCTGGAAGCTTCATTATAGGCACAGGAGTGCTCCCCCAGCCAAAAGCCAGTCCTGTGTTCCCCCGTCACCCCCAGTCACTGGTCCTCAGCACATCATCACCTGCTCTCCAGTCAGACTCCTCACCTCAGAATGAGAAACGTGTGCTTTGTGCTCTCTGAGTTTCCTTCTCATCTGTGCTCCTGACTCAGGAATTTGATCAGAAGTTAATACGAGGAGAAATTACAATGTAGCCCAGCAGGAGCAGAGCTGGTTACCTACAAATAAACCTGCTTTTGCTTTTTTGGGTGTCACCTGTCAGAAATTCAAGTCATGTTCTGACAGTCATACTGATTAAGATGTCAGCCGAATAGATATTTAAGTATTTGAAAAATACAGAGAGTTTGTCAAAACCTCAGGAAGAGTCTAGCACATCCTTCCTGGGAGCCAAGGAAAATATTTAAAAATGGAACAGAGGTCGTTCCCAACCCAGGCACAAATTTTCTTCTTCCAAAGGAAGAACTGCCTATGGAGCTCCCGGAAGGCACAAGCCCTCCATGATGGTAGGGCCCAGGCTGGCTTTCCTAGCCCAGGGCAGGGGCCTGGGAGCCTCAGAGCTGGGAGCCAGGCACCCTGTCCTTCCTCTTATCTGTCTTCTGTCCTGCTGCCTTTCTCCCTGGACCCCAGTGCCCTCCCCTTCTCAAAACACAGCACAGAGGAGCCCACCTGGACTTGAGGTCACCTGTACACATCGCTCCAGGCTCCAAATGTCCGCCTTTCCTTCCTCAGTCCTTCCCTCACCACTAAACCCAACCTGGGACGTGTTGACCAGCAGAAGCAATTTCTCAGCTCATTTATATCTGGTACCAGTGGACTGATATCCCTCCTGTGGATATTTTCTTTAAAAACAATAATAGCCGGGCAAGGTGGCTCACACCTATAATCCCAGCCCTTTGGGAGGCACAGACAGGAGGATTGCTTGTGCCAGGAGTTCGAGACCAGCCCGGGTAACAGGGTGAAACACTGTCTCTACAAAAAATATTAAAGATTAGGCAGGTATGGTGGCATGCGCCAGTAGTCCCAGCTACTCAGGAGGCTGAGGCGGGAGGATTACGTGTGCCCAAGAGGTCGAGGTCCACGGTGAGCTGTGACTGTGCCACTGCTCTCCAGCATGGACAACAGGGACAGCAGGATGCATGTTGGCCCCAAAATGAGTCACTCAGCAACTGATAGGATTTCTGGTAGGTTAGTAAGAACTAGGCAGTGTGTGTAGTGGTGGCAGAGATGGTGAGTGGGTGGGCTGCAGGGCTGACTCGCAGGGGTCCAACAGCTGCCTGAGCTGCTTTTGGTCTCCTGGGAGCTCCATTCTCCATCTCTGAGGGCACAGGCCCTCTCACCACCTCACCCTCACCTCTCCCTCCTGCTTTGGGGAACTGGCCGCTGGAAGTTCAGAGTTACTCACAGACTTGCTTTCTCCATCTGAAAACATATTGTGAAATATTCCAGACAAATCCGTTTAAGGAATAGTGACCTTCCAGGTACCCACAGTAACTCCTATGCCCAAATGGTATCTTTTGAGGTGGCAAATTCTGCCCCTCTCAGCTTTTACTCTGAGATGACCAGCCAACGGAGGACAGAGAGGGGCCCGATCTTATCTGTGTCTGAAGGTACACTTCAGCTACTGATTAAAAATCAGCTGAAGGAAGGCTGGGCGTGGAGGTAAGAGCATTGCCTGAGCCCAGGGGCTTGAGACCAGCCTGGGTAACTTGGCAAGCTTCATCTCTACAATAAATCAAAAAATTAGCCGGGCATGATGGCATGTGCCTGTGGCTCCAGATACTACTTGAAAGGCTGAGGCAGAATGATCACCTGAGCCCAGCAGGTCGAGGCTGTGGTGACCATGAGCATGCCACTGCACTCCGGTCTGGGCGACAGAGTGAGACTCAGAATCAAAAACAAACAAACAAAAAAAAATAGAAAGTTTCATAGTTAGGTTCTTCCTTTGTTTGGGCCTCAATTATTTAAATGATTGAATTGTTAAGATAGAAGGAATTCTGCCAGGCTTGGTGGCTCAGCCTGTAATCCCAGCACTTTGGGAGGCCGAGGCAAGTAGATTGCCTGAGCCTGCGAGTTCAAGACCCACCTGGGCAACTTGGCAAGCCTCATCTCTACAAGAAATCAAAAAATTAGCCAGGCATGGCGGCATGTGCCTTTGGTTCCAGCTACTTGGAAGGCTGAGGCAGAAGGATCGCCGGAGCCCAGCAGGTGAAGGCTGCAGTGGCCGGGAGCGTGCCACTGCACTCCAGTCTGGGTGACAGAGTGAGACTCCGACTCAAAAAAAAAAAAAGATAGAAGGAATTCACCATTCAAAGGTATCAGCTGATACCATGAAAAGTCAATGTGCTTGATCTATATTAAAATATACCACAACTTCAGCAATAATGGCAACATGATGATGGTGGTGATGGTGGCGATGATGACGGTGGTGGTGGTGATGGTGAGGAGGATGATGGTGGTGGTGGTGGTGGTAGTGATGTGGATGATGATGGTGATGATGATGGTTTTGAAAAGGTGGTGGCAGTGATGATGCTAAGGGTGACGATGACGGTGGTCATGATGATGGTGATGGTGATGATGGTGATGAAGACGGTGGTGATGATGGTGACGATGATGGTGATGATGAAGATGGTGGTGGTGATGAAGATGGTGGTGATGATGATGATGGTGATGATGAAGATGGTGGTGATGAAAATGATGATGGTGATGATGAAGATGGTGATGATGATGATGATGGTGATGAAGATGGTGGTGGTGATGATGGTGATGATGAAGATGGTGATGATGATGATGATGGTGATGAAGATGGTGGTGGTGATGATGATGATGATGAAGATGGTGGTGGTGATGATGAAGATGGTGATGATGATGGTGATGATGGTGATGGTGATAATGGTGATGAAGATGGTGGTGATGATGATGGTGATGATGAAGATGGTGGTGGTGATGATGAAGATGGTGATGATGATGATGGTGGTGAGAATATGGTGGTGATGATGATGATATGATGATGATGGTGATGAAAGTGATGATGATGATGATGATGATGGTGATGGTGATGATGGTGATGAAGATGGTGGTGATGATGGTGACGATGATGGTGATGATGAAGATGGTGATGATGATTATGGTGATGATGATGATGGTGATGAAGATGGTGGTGATGATGAAGATGGTGGTGATGATGATGACAATGGTGATGATGGTGATGAAGGTGGTGGTGATGATGATGATGGTGATGATGAAGATGAAGATGGTGGTGATGAAAATGATGGTGGTGATGAAGATGGTGATGATGATGGTGATGATGGTGGTGATGAAAATGATGATGATGGTGATGATGGTAGTGAGAATATGATGGTGATGATGATGATATGATGATGATGGTGGTGGTGACGACAGGGACTTCCTCTGCAATCTCCCAATGGCGTTTCCAGTGGCTCTGTCGTGCAAGACTGATCAAAATAAGACACGACTTTTCCCAGGGTGGTGTCTTCACAAGTATTGAGCGTTCATGGTCAACAGCTGTCTTCTTCTCACATGCAGGTGTGCTATCTTTTTGGTGTTAGGAGATGTTGTGCCAGATGCAGGCAAAAGAAGATTAAAGGCCAGGGGTTTGCCAGCTCCCCGCTCAGGTCCTCCCAGAGTGCAGAGGCCCACAGAGCTCTCTCTAGCCCAGTCTGGCCGGGCCTCTTTACCGTCAGCTGCTTGGGTTCAGGCTCCACTAGGCGGAGGCCGAGCTCTCAGGGACAGAAGCTGGACTGGGAGAAGCCCCAAGGCTCTCTCGGTAGGGAAGAGGAGAAGAGCCTTCATCAGGACTCTTTCTTCACTCTTGCTGACTTGGGATCTGAACCACGTCCCCACAAGAAGTCGCTGACACCTCTCGGTCTCCTCCTTCTGTCTTCTCCGATGTCCTCAGCGGCTTTTGAAGGAGCCCCTCACCTGTCCTGTCTCCCACAGGGCCTGCAGGACAGCTTGTTCTCCTCCGAAAGTGACAACAGCCTGTACTTCACCTACAGTGGCCTGCCCAATACCCTGGAGGTCAGAGACCTCAGCTACCAGGTAGACGCATGCCTGGGCTTGAGGGGAGAGGGACAGGCAGGGGCAGCCAGACAATATCCCCAGTGGAAGGGAGGTGTGGGTCCACCCTGCAGGCCCTCCACTCCCACAGACAGGATCCAGCGTGTGTTGACGCCTCATGTGTTGGGTACAATGCATGGCATCAATGAGCCTGCGGGTTCGAGACCCACCTGGGCAACTTGGCAAGCCTCATCTGGAGCTGGAGGTTGCAAGGCGTGGAAAATGAGACCCTTGTGAAAGCATAAGGCAAACGGTGTGAACCTATGGAAGAATCTCTGGAACTCGTCTTACTATATTTTGAAGTAATTTTAGACCTTAGAAAAAGTTGCAAAAAAGTACATTGTTCCCATATACGCTTTGTCCACCTTCTCCTAATGTTAACATCTCATATCCCAATAGCATGAAGATCAAAACCAAGAAATTAATGACGCACAGCTATTCACTACAGACTTTATTCTGATTTCATCGGTATATGCATATATTTGTGTATATATATATATGTATATACCGATGAAATGTGTGTATGTATATATACATATACTTTTTTTTTCCGGAGCTAATAAAACATCAAGAGTACAAAAGACAACAATGGCCTTTCAGGGACTCTCAAGAATCCCCTGGTCAGGCTCAAGGAACCCTGTTCCCACAATATCTGGGGTGCAGACCACTTGTTGCCCAGATAGCACATGGCAGGGCCTGGGGTGGTGAACTTCAAAGGCCTGAGTCTGGCTTTCAGTGGGTGTGAGTTGGGACAAGCCAATGAACATTCTCTGGTCTACTACTTATAAGTTGTGTGACCTTGAAAAAGTTGCTTAACGGCTCTGAGCCTCATCTTTTTTTTTTTTCTTTTTTGAGTTGGAGTCTTACTCTCACCCACGCAGGAGTGCAGTGGCACGCTCCCGGCCTCATCTTTAAAACAGAGATTCTGGTCATGCTCGGTGGTTCAGCCTTGTAATCCCAGCACTTTGGGAGGCTGAGGTGAGTGGATTGCCTGAGCCCACAGGTTCGAGACCTGCCCAGGCAACTTGGTGAGAC